TTCCCTCTGCCCAAATTTATTACTTCTTTTTTCTCCTGGCAGTGGAGATAATTTTGAGTTCCCAGCGACTGTCCTTTCAAATCCACAAAAGCACGAAGACAGGAGAGACATTGGAACTAAGGGTTCTTTTTCAGTGTTCGATTGTCCCTTCATAATGTGATTTGAGATCAGTGATGATAGAGTTTTCTCCTTGAATATACAGGGAGTCCCTAAAAATAATCTTTTTACTTTGCAAAATGTGGGAAGTGGAAATATTCCCTTTGGTTGGCTCTTGTGTAGTGAACATTTGGGAACCATTAAAGCTCCATGTAACATGAGAGAGTTCATATGGGACCCTAACTTGGGCTGACTTGTAGAGTTCACATTGTAGCTTTGACAGAGGGCGGCTTTTGGCATTTGGCTGTCTGATGTTGACTGTTACCCCAGAATAATGAATTTTAACAATTCTAGTTTGTACTCTTATAAGCCTATGCAATTAAACTCCCCCATCCATTTTAGAGAACGCAGATGGCCCGTGGCACAGCGACCGTGACCAAAGTAGGCTATTCCCCCCTGCCCCTCACTGATGCCACTGAAGACCTAGGCAGGCAGCCACTGAACCCTCCTTTTCCCTCAAATCCTCATACGGAAAGGGGAGTAGGGCATTCTACTGCTGTATCTCAGGTCCTGCTTCCAGGATAGGGTTGCAAAGCCTCCCTGGATACAGGTGTCACAAGTGAAGCAGGAGTCCCAGAGCTATGTATAGGTTTTTGGGGCCCCTGCCTATTAGTGCAGAGTGAGAGAAGATTCCATCCAACCCCAGTTACACTGTGAAATCCTCCTCCATGCTCTCTGCCACCCCACCCCCAATTTTGCCCCAACGTCTTCTCCACCCAACCTCAGTAACTCCGAGTAGCCAACTTGGACAGATAGCTCTTGCAGACTGACCATGCAGAGGTGGCAGGAATGAGGTCTGCTACACTTCTCCACAGCTGTTGGGGGTCTAGAGCAGAAAATCCTGCTCCCCACCACCCGGTCACACCAGAGCCAACTTGAGGGTGTAATATAAAAACCAGAATGGGCAAGGGATGTGTTGGTCCTTGGTGTACCTCCTGTTAACAGGTCCTGTGGTCGGTTTTATGCATCACTGTTTGATCTGTCTCCTTTCAGACCTCCTCGCACTATACTTAGGATTTTCCTCCTCACTTTACTCCCCCAAGCTGTGCCTCTGTGCTCTTAGGAAATGCCAAGGGGGATATACAACTTGAACTAGTTTGCCATGCTGCTGGGACACTCGTCTGTTACTGATTTCTTCTGCTTTTTTATTAAAAGCATTTCCATTTCCCTTGCTCTGAGACCTCTGAGTGTATGTGCACAATTACCAAAATGCCGAGTCATCAGCATCCTACCTATTGAGGAATGTTAGACTCTGGGACATAAAAACAGGGATCTTGCATAATACTCAGATGAGCCAAGACTTTCCTTGTGATGGAATGACAGTTCTTTTGTCTTTTAAAAATTGCTTTTATAGACCCTGCCTTTGTAAGACAATTGTATTGGCATTGGGAATCCTTTAGGATTTTACGAATAAACTTGCAATAGCATTGTCTATACTTAAAAAAAAAGACATGTTTCTCCCCCCAGTGTAACACTGACACAGCTTGTGTTTGATGTACAAGGCCCTGTGGGTGACATCTGCGCTAGGTACCAGTGAGACAATGAGAGCTTTGGCAGGCACTGGGATGTCATTGTTACCTCTCTTTCCAACAGGGAGTAGAAGTGATTCAGGAGAAGTTTCTGTGGATGGAAGTTTAGTAGATAAGATAAGGCTGTTGCCCTGTCATCCTCCCTGAACGTTTCTTGAATTGTGACATCAGGGATAAGAATGCAGAACAGCAGGTGTGGGGTGTGTGAAGCCATGTCTGGCCAGGAAAAGTGGAGGCTTATTAAGGACGGGTGACATCTTCTTGGGGTAACTGAAGCTTCAGGCTCTGCTCTCACTCTCTCCCCTTGGTCATGCCCCAACTGAGCGGAGGTCAAGACCTACCAGGTAAAGGTATGGTTTTCCAGACTCTGCTCTCATGCCGAAGAAACCTCCTACAGGACTACCTGCCTCCCTTCCCACAACAACTAGCCAAGAAGGAAGAACACTGACCTTCTTAGCCTGTCACCACACTAAGACAGCCACAAATGGGTGAACTTGTCAGTTTATTTTCAAGGGACCAGGACCAGGACCAGCAATGAGAGGCACCTTTTTCTGCCTAATACTACTGCCATTTACCCTGGTGCTTTGCTGAATTCTCCATGGCACTGTCACTGTCCCTCTCAATCCTTGGTCACTCTGGAGGAGGGTCTGGGCCCATATCACCCAGTGGATAAGTAGAGCCCTAAGCACCTGACTCCAGGCCCCCCTGTTTCACTGCCCTTATTAAACAAACAAACAGAAAGTCCTCATGTTCCCTGTGGTCTCTTCCTCAAGTTAGCAGACCAAGGCCTGAGGCATCTTGGTGCCATTTGATTGTAGATGCACACTATTTAACTCTATCTGGCTGCATTCCCTGAGTGTCCTGCCCCCGACGCCTAACTTCTTGGAGAAGTCAGCTTCCCCAAAATGACTTCAGGCCGCAAAGGAAAGGCTTTCTGATTCCAGGATGATTTGAACAAAATTGAGATTCTAAATTGTAAGGGTCCCCTTAAGGAAGCCTTAGGTGCTGATTCATTCATTCTATTGATGTACATTTTTATTGAGTACCTTCCCCAGGCTGGGCTCTGTGCTAGAGCCTGGACATACAGTAGTGATGACCAGGAAAGAAAAGGTGCATTGAAGGAATGAACGGGGAGGCCAGTGATAGGGGAAAATGGAGAATCTCCTTAGAGTGGCCACACAATGTCTTCCAAGCAGGCAGAATCTCAGGTGAGAGCTAATGCCTGAGAAGCAAATGGCCATGAGCTGGGGGTAGGGGTTGGGGTGGGGCAGCAGGGAATGTGGCATCTGTTGGTGGGGAGGGAAGCTTGCATGAGTGAGGGTGCCTGCAGAGGCCAGTGGGCTAGAACAAAGCAGGAGAGGAGAAGGGAGGCCCCAAGATGAGATCAGACGGAAAGCCAGGGCCAGGTCATGGGGCTTTAAGGACCACAGCAAGGAGTTTGGTATATTCAGATACAATAGGAAGCTGGTTTGTTTTTAAAATGTGATTCTAGCAGCTGAGGCGAAAACAGATTATAAATTATAAGTGGGGAGACTGGCCCAGGTGAAGGTGATAGTCACGGGGACTTGAGTGGAGACAGAGTTAGGACGGATGAGTTCATTGTGTCAGAGGCAGAGAGCAGCACTGGATGTGGGGTGAGGACTAGAGTTAAGGGTGACCCCCAGGTTTCTGGTTTCAGGTTTCTTTGCAACCTGATGATATTTACTGAGAAGGGGGAGGACTGGAAGTGGGATCTGTAATTCTATAATCCTATCAAGGCAGTGGTTATTATGGTTCTAATGAGAAGATATTCAACCTGTTGTTATTTTAATCTTTCTGCTACATGGTTTGCCAGACAACAGCAGCTTGGCAGCGAAACAGAGCATCAGCCATCCATGGCTCACTCCAAATGGACGCTAATCAAGTATTTTGATCAATGGCAGCATTATCTCAAGAGACAGAATTAAATTCCCAAGGTTCTACCCTGAAAGAGCAAGAACCAGAATCTGTGAAGAATCTGATTCTTCATTTGAGCCCCCAGAAGTAAATCTGTGTTCTGAGACGCTGACAGCCTCCTGTTCGCCGTTTTTTGGAAGAAATGCAGAGTGGTATCAGCTGGGAAGGAGAGGGATCGGGGGGCCTTGCAGTCTTTCACTTGGGTTTATTCCGTGGTTGAAATAATGTTAGGGTCACCTTCATTACCCTCTCTTGTGTTGTCCATTTTCAAACCAAGTAACATGGTCTTAACTGAACTTTCCTGAGAAGTGTTTCTTCCAAACATAAAAAGAACCTGACTGAAAATTTAGGAGATCTTTTACAGAAGGCCTGTGGATCACTCCAGTCCCCCTCTCAGGCCTTTACAAAAGAGAGTCCAGCCCAGGGTCCACACACTTTAGGGGGTCCCACATTGGCCCTTATCAGTCCTGACCTTCTGTGTGGGGCAAGGAGTCTACAGGGTCAAAGGGATGTGTTTGGCCAGAGCCTTCTAGACCATAGTTCAGATATCCAGGATCCCAGAATTCCCCACTGAGACACACCTGGGGGAGGAGGGGTCCCAAAGCCCTAGGGCCGGGGTTGGCTCTCCCCACACAGCCCTGTTTTCTGGCACAAAATCCTAAGGAGTCAAACCTGACCTTCTGGGTTGTTAGGAGCATTTGTCAAAGACAAGGCTAGAACATATTTTAACAGTTTACTGATGTGATTTATGGCTTGTAAATATTTGTCCATATGGTTTTGGGGCCCATTTGTACCCCTGTTCCAGGCCTCGCCAGTGCTGCGGCAGGCCTGAGTTATCCCCACCAAAATGCATCACCACGGTGGGGACTGGCTGGCTGTGCTGTGACAGACGGTTTGAGGGCACACCTGCGGCCTTGGCCTTTCTCCAACAAGGTGCATGAGTGGAGGTTGTGTAAAATACCTCGCCATGGAAGAGGGTCTCATGGTCTGCAGTAGCAAACCACGCTCACAGCACCGACCTCATCTCATTCCGGATCCCCCTGCACCTAACCTGAAGACAAGGACAAGAACCTGTCTGGGGAAACAAACGCATCAACTCCTCACTAGGAGAGGTTGTGGGGAGCAGCCCTAGCCCCGTGGAGCCATGAGTTCCTATTGGGTATTTGCTCCTTGTAGGCATAAACATCAGCAAAGCAGCTCAGCTCCTTCCTGGTCTCTGGGAAGGGTGAGGGCCCGTGTCCACCACCCACTGTTGCCATTGCCTGAAAGTCCTGTGGGACCTCAGTAAACAACACCTCTCTCTCTCCCTCTTTCCACTCCCTCTCCTTCTTCCACACCCACCCCTTCTTGTCCTTTCTCCGTCTCCCTCACCATCTGCAGTAAACCGGTCCCCTTCTCGCTGCAGCGGGTTGAATCGCTCTGAGTCTCCAAACCGCGAGCGCAGCGACTTTGGGGGCAGCAACACTCAGCTGTTCAGCAGCAGCAACAACCTCTACATGCCTGACTACTCGGTCCACATTCTCAGCGACGTGCAGTTTGTGAAGGTAACTCCCCTAGGAGGCAGTCCTCTCTCCTGGTAGGCAGAGTTGGCTGGGGGAGCAGGGACCAGGAGACTTCCGTCAGAGGCATAGCATGTATCCCACTCCCCCCGTTCCAAAATAGTGATGGGGGTGGTAATTGCTCCTGGCTTTATAAAGGCCCTGTTTCAGTAAGCTTTATTACTGTTCACTATTTGTCAATTTTTAAAGATCTCCTGATCCCTATTTTGCATGTGGGGAGACTGAGGCACAAAGCACCCTAAGATGAGCTTGCATGAGACAATGAAACAAGTTGCTGCCAGAACTGTTTCCTTTGGATCCCCCACCATTGATACCCATTTGATTTTGTTCATTTTTTTTTTCAAGATAAATTTACAGGTGATTAATAAACCACGTGTATAGAAGAAACCATGCTATAATTTTTACATATGATAATTTTTACACCTTAATATTTAAAGTCTAAAACACAATTGAGCCTATATGTTAACTGAAAATTTTTTGTAGTAACTAATAACACCCCCTTAAGAGCACTGGGCAATTTGAAGAGAACCACTCTGCAAATGCCGTGGAGAGAGGCAGCAAGGCTCATTGCCTTGTAATTAAAGAGGAGGGGAGCTATGTCTTCATGTCCTTCACTGGGATTGGCATTGCACAGAAGCCTTTTAAAATTTTCCCCTTCCTCTTGTTTCCATTGGTTTGGTTTTGTTTTCTAGCATTCTGGAAACCATTATAAAGTTAGGCCTGAGCTCAGGCTAGAGCCCCATTTATCCCAGTCCAACAAAACACCCAGTGAGCTCACTTGGTAACTGTTGTCCCAGTTGCAGGCTGAGAGATACACTGACATTACAAAGGTGGGAGAAGTTCCTTCCCTTCTATCCAGAACACACACCTTGATTATTTGGAGAACAGTGCATGCTGGCTGGCTTTCTATGTTCCAGAACTGTGCAGACACCCTGAGCTAAAACCTACATCAGCCAGTAAAAGTAACCATTGAATGCTACCAGAAGGGGGGACAGAACCTAGAGGATAGGGTGGGTAATGACTACTGTTTGTGCGGCGCTCTGTGCAAGGCACTTTGCTGAGCCCTTTGTCTGAATTATCCATTTAATCTCACAGCCACCGATGAGGTAAGTACTACTTCATTCCCATTTTGCAGACGAAGAAATGGGGGCTTGAGGAGTATAAGGTCACATGGCTTACACTTTGAAGTGGCAGAGCCACGCTTCCAAGTTGAGTCTTTCTGCCTCCAGAGTCCAAGCCCTGAAATCACTTTGCTTTAGGGAGAGTTGTAGGAAATCAGAACTGAAGGAGCCGGGGAGAAGTGACTTTAGGAACCAACCAAGCAACACTCACAGGTGTGCATGCCTGTGGACATTCACCAAGTCTAGTGTGACAAGGAGGTTAAACCTTAGAAAATCGCAGCTGTGAATCTCCTCCCTACGGCATCCAGTCTCGAAGCCCGTTCGTTGCTAATGCAGACCTTGGTTTGTGGGAAAAGAAAAGGAGCGTCATATATGAATATGTGGGTCAACAAATATTTCATGAATGCCTGCTCTGTGCGAGGCATTGATGGGGTACTGTGGAGAAGACAGCAAGCTGCTGCACAGGAGCTTGCCCGCTAATGGGGAGAAAGATGATAAACAAGTAACCACATCAATAACCTAGGTAATTCCAGGCAGTGATAAAGGCCATGAAGGAAAGAAACAGAGCTGTGGGATAGACAGTGACTGGGCAGAGAAGACAGGAAGGCTGGTTTTGAAATGAGTGTCAGAGCAGGCTCAGAAAAGGATATTTTTACAGAGACCTGAAAGGGGCGGTGGGGAGAATGTTCAAGATAGAAACAAGAGAGGCAGGAAGGAGCTAGGCAGAGGGTCTGAGTGCTGGCCCATGACGTGCAAAGGCAGAGGCTGGAGCAAGATGAGAATGGAGTTCCAGAGGCAGTGTCACCTGGGATCTTTAGGCCTTAGTAAGGAATTTGGATTCTATTTTAAGTGCATCGGGAATTTTTTTTATTTATTTCAGCATATTACGGGGGTATAAATGTTTAGGTTTACATATATTGCCTTTGCCCTACCCAAGTCAGAGCTTCAAGTGTGTCCATCCCCCAGACAGTGCACACTGCACCCATTAGGTGTGAATATACCCATCCCCTCTTCCCCCCTCCCTCCTGCCAGACACCTGATGAATGTTACTACTGTATGTGCACTTAGGTGTTGATCAGTTAGTACCAAATTGATGGTGAGTACATGTGGTGCTTGTTTTTCCATTCTTGGGATACTTTACTTAGTAGAATGGGCTCCAGCTCTATCCAGGATAATACAAGAGGTGCTAGATCACCATTGTTTTTTGTGGCTGACTAGAACTCCATGGTGTACATATACCACATTTTATTAATCCACTCATATATTGATGGGCACTTGGGTTGTTTCCGCATTTTTGCAATTGTGAATTGTGCTGCTATAAACATTCTAGCATGGATGTCTTTTTTATAGAATGTCTGTTTTTCCTTTGGGTAGATGCCTAGTAATGGGATTGCTGGATCAAATGGTAGTTCTACTTTTAGCTCTTTGAGGTATCTCCATACTACTTTCCACTGAGGTTGTACTAGTTTGCAGTCCCACCAGAAAGTGTATGAGTGTTCCTATCTCTCTGCATCCACGCCAACATTTATTGTTTTGGGACTTTTTGTAAAGGCCATTCTCACTGGAGTTAAGTGATATGTCATTGTGGTTTTGATTTGCATTTCCCTGATGATTAGAGATGTTAAGCATTTTTTCATATGTTTGTTGGCCATTAGTCTATCTTGTTTTGAAAGGTTGCTGTTCTTGTCCTTTGCCCACTTTTTGATAGAGTTTTTTGATTTTTTTCTTGCTGATTTTCCTGAGTTCTACATAGATTCTAGTTATCAGCCCTTTATCGGATGTATAGCATGCAAATATTTTCTCCCATTCTGTAGGTTGTCTATTTGCTCTATTGATTGTGTCCTTGGCTGTACAGAAGCTTTTTAATTTCATCAGGTCCCCCATTTATTTATTTTTGTTGTTGCTGTGATTGCCTTTGGGGTCTTCTTCATAAATTCTTTGCCTAGGCCAACGTCCGTAAGAGTTTTTCCAACATTTTCTTCTAGAATTCTTAAAGTTTCACTCCTTAGGTCTAAGTCTGTTACCCACCGTGAGTTGATTTTTGTGAGAAGTGAAAGATGTGGATCCTGTTTCAGTCTTCTACATGGGGATGAAAAATTCACTAAAGAAATTGAAATATTAAAGAAAAATCAAACAGAACTTCTGGATTGTGTAACCTTGACCAAGATGCCCATCACCATCTGGTGGCTAAATCCCTAAACTGCAGCATCATGTTTTAAGGGATGAATAAACTGCCTGAAAGTTGAAAATATAAGCAGAACATCATAAAATCTCAAGAGACATCACATTAGCCTAAAGGTTAACTTCTGGACACCTGGCCTGCTAAGGCAAAATGTCCAAAAGGGCATCCTTGCTTTTTGCTACCTTAAAGATAAATACACTTCCATTTCCTTTGTAAGTTAGAGGGCGCTTTAATTCTTAACTGATCAATATATAAGAGAAGACAATTTGAATTCAAGCTATTTCTAATAAATGGTTGTACTTACAACAGTGAAGAGAAAATAAAAACGTTACTTTTTGAAAAGTGGTTTGATTCCCTCAATCAACTAATCAGTATTTGTTGAGCATTAACGATGGTTCTGGGTACCATGAGATATACTAAAGAAATACAAATCTAACAAAAATATGCAAATATATCCTCTGCCTTATAAGTAGATTAAGATCTGGTTAGAGAGAGGCAGCTTAAGTTAAATAGCAGTGACCCATGCAGGGTAGTATCTAATCGATGACAAAATTATGCAGCATTTTTTAAGCCCTATATTGGCTGGAGAATGTACTGGACCTTTAGGAATTGGGAAAGAATAAGAGAGGAGTTCAGGCAATGCCATTCAGGGGGGACACCCTAAACAGGAGTGTAGAAGGCAAGTAGACACCGTACATTCAAGGGACAGTGAAGAGAGAGGAGCAAGGCTGGACCAGTGGCCCTGCACTGGGGGGCAGTAAGAACGCTGCTGACCGGGCAAGGCCAGATTATCAAACCTGGGCACAGCAGTTCAGGTTGGGCTGCTAGACCTTGCCGTCCAGTAGGGCAGCCAGCAGCCACAGGTGGTGGTTGAATGCATGAAATGTGGCTTGTCCAAATTGATGTGCTGTAAGTATAAAATACACATTGGACTTCAAAGGAAATTCCTCATTAATGATTTTAAATTAATTATATGTGGAAGTGAAATTATTTTGGATATATTAGGATATACATGAAATATTAAAATTAACTTCACCTGTTTCTTTTTACTGGTTTTTTTTTTTTTAATGCAACTGCTAGAAAATTTTAAATTACCCATGTGACTCATGTTATATTTCTATTCGACAGTGCCATGCTAGATAAAAAGAAGTTGTCATAGGTTTTTAACAAAGGGAGGGAGCAGATGAGAAGTGATGCTTGAATCTAGAATTGCAGCTGGGGAGAAGCCGGGCAGAGGTTGCTTCCCTGAATACATTTTCCAGAGTGGTGCCTTGTCAACAATTTCTTTTAAGGCAACGCGTTGACATGGCAGTAGTTCATGTTTTTTTGTTGTTGTTTTTTTTTAATTTAAAAAGAGGAAGCAGTGTGAAAGCAAGGCTGTGAGATACGTAGAGAAGGTAACCATTAGGTGGTACCTTTCCTTTTATATAACCACCCACCAATAGTACAGACCCTGCCCCTCCCCTTGTACCTGGCCGACCACCCACCAGCTCACCCTGTACACCCTGCCCTGCTTCCTCCCACTAATACTAGATCCTGGAAGTGGTCGGCTGAATCTTCTCTTTAGCATCACTAACAAGTGGTGGTTTAACCCCTGTGTGAATGCCTCCAACGACAGGGAACTCAGCACCTTACAAGGAATCCTATTCCATTTACTCAGTATTATTACCAAGAGTAATACTTTATTCCCATCCTTTTCTCCAAAACAATGTTTAAAGGAAGGGTTAGAGTTCCTGGATCCTTGATTCCAGGTTATTGGAGGGGCATATCACTGTTTCATAAGAACAAGGAGAGAGTGATACAGCTCACCGCTGGTACAACCTGGCCAGAACCTTTCCCAAAATGAGTAAATTAGTTAAATAAGAGAGAGAATTTTGCAGCAGTGGTCACTCCCAAGAGGCTATTCTAGCCTGGGGGACACAGCCAATCTACCAACCGATAGGAGTCCTAAGCCAGCAGATCCATTTCAAAATCAAACCAAAACACACTCCTTCCTTCTCTCTTCTTCCTCTCTTCTTCCTCTCTTTTCTTCACTCACTGTCTCTTTTTTCTTCTTCATTTTCCTTTTCCCATCATCTCTACTTGGAATCTCCCTACTCTCTCTTTTATTTTCTTGATTATGGATTTACTTTCACAAGACCTAGTCTTGCCTTCACAGCACTTCCAGTCACATTGTCTCTGGGATCAGAGGAGACATTGCTCCTTCCCCCTTGCCCACCTCATGGTGTGCTGTGGACAATAAGACATAATGAGATGGTAAGTTTCACCCCATCTTTGAAATGTGTGCCCATTATGAAGTCAAACTGTGAGACATGTATGTGGACATCTTTTAAACAATTGTTCCCAACAGTCATATAACACACTCACTCACATGATCTCATTATCTCATTACCTCTTTTACAAGCTCAGAGATGTTAACTATTTGGCCAAAGTCCCCAGCTTGCAAGTGGCAAAACTAGGACTTGAACTTTAGCCTTGAGCAGGCAGTGTGTTTCCTGCCGTATTTTCTAGGTGAAGGGTCATTTGGCCTTTTTGACTAAACTAGAAGCCAAATCTATAGTAACTACTTTAAAGAACCCAAATAGAGTAAGATCAGCCGCTTTTTGGGCTTATCAAGTATCATTTAGGATATGTTCTTGTCCTTTGGTGTTAGGGCCAAATTTCCCCATCTTTTGGGTAAATTTTCAAACCTGACTTCTTCCCAGCAGAGGGCGCTGCAAAAGTCAGGTGTTCTCAATAAGAACATTGAATCTGTTGAAGACTTTGTGTAAGTGCTAAGTAGAGACACATGGTTCTATGTCATAGGACCTGAAAAATATCAAAGCCAATTGTTAACACTTTGCTGCTCTTTATCCTTTAAAATCCTTTAGAGGGGAATGAAACAAAACCTGAGTAGGGCCTGTGTCTGATTCTAACTAGGTCTTAAGTCAGTGGTCTCAAAGTGTGATCTCCAGAGCAGCAGCATCGGCATCACCAGGAACTTGCTAGGAAAGCAAATTCTCAGTCTCTACCCCAGACCTAGTGAATTAGAAACTTTGGGAGTTGGGCCCAGCAATCTTGTTTTCATAAGCCTTTCAGGTAATTCCGATGATGAGGTTTGAGATTTAAACCATCAAGAGAACTATACTTGCCCACTCGAATGGGTGGTATATGATTAGAAGCCTGGAATCTCTGCATATATGTGTCCCGTAAGTGTTGCAAAAAGACATACACTCTTAATTTGTGTTTTGTAATTGGATTAGATGTGCTTAGAATTTGCTTGGTTCTCATACAAAATATCCTGAAGTTTGTTATACAAGAAAGGGTTGATAATGTCCAGGAAAGTCATGGGTCTTATCAGCAGTAGACAAGAGTCCACCGTTGAAAGAGACCTTACCTGATAGCAAGCGAACTTTAGGCCCACTCTCCATCCCAGTGTGTAAACCTGAACCGTCTCCTCTCCTATTTCTAGCCGGAAATCTTTACTCTTCTGACGTGTAATGCCAGTCCTGCCCCTAAAGGCAAAGTGAGCAGAATTTGGAGCTTTGCCAGTTTGCTAGCTCTGATGCACAGACGAGGGGATGAAAACACTTTAGGAAACAGTAGGACTTGGGAAGGGTATTGTGCCATGTGCCATTTTCATTTTTCCCCTAATGGCAGTCATTGATTAGCAGTATCACCTTCCTATACTGGACGGTACAAAAACTTGGCTGTTTTCACTGGAAACAAGGATTCACAGAGCTGATCTGTATAAATGTGTTTTAAACTTCTCCATGGACAACCCCTCGCTAACTGTAGATGCCCTCTGTCTTCTCCACAGTCTCAGGAGAAGGTTTGGCTCTTCCAGGTGCCAGCAAAAAATGAACAGTGGGAAGTGGTGGCAAATAAGCAAAGAGCCCCTCATTGTCCCTCAACTCCTGGGCTGGTCCAGTGTGGGTAAGGCCCCCTGTTCATGGATCTAAGGCCTCAGAGGCCAAGGGTTTCACAGCATCCCAGTGGGGCTGCTTCTGAGCTCAGGAAGGCTGGCTGCACCCAGGGAGGGCTCTGTCCAGCTACTTCTGAGCCTCTTCCCACCTCCTTCCAGATCACACGGCAGCAGTATCAGAATGCGCTCACCGCCTGCCACATGGACAGCTCACCCCAGTCCCCTGACGTGGAGGCCTTCACTGACGGAGACTCCACCAAGGCCCCCACCACTCGGGGCACACCCCTGACCCCCAAGGATGACCCTGTCGCCACGCTCCTGAGCAACAGGAACAGTCTGCCGTGTAAGTCTGTCGAGCAGTTGGGCTGGGCTGATGTCTGGTGAGGATGTCCCTGCCTTCCTCCCCCAGCCCTGCCCAGAGCTGATCTCTTGTGCCTCATGGAGCCCCAGGTCTTCTCCAAGGCAGAGAGGTAATGCACTGACTGTCCCCCCCAGGCAGCCGTTCAGATGGGCTGCGAAGCCCCGGCGAGGTAGTGTACTTGAGGATGGAGGAGATGGCCTTCACCCAGGAGGAAATGACTGACTTCGAGGAGCACAGTACACAGCAGCTCTCGCTGTCACCTGCAGCTGTGCCCACGAGAGCAGGTCAGGGAGGGCGGACTGGGCCCAGAGGAACAAGGGGGATCATCGCCCTTGGGCACTGGGATGGCTCAGGGTGAGCTGGGTGAGGGGAGCCTGGGGACCCCAGCCCTGTGTTAAACCTCCCACCTCCTTACACAGCCAGGGAAAGGAAACTCACATTTGCTGAGCACCTGCCACGCACCAGGCCCTATCTAATTCACTCTCCCAGGAAAACCGTGTAGGGCAGGGTTGGGAGCTAGATTTCTGCCTGCGTTCAGACCCTGGCTCCTTCGTTTAGGGGCTGTGCAATTTTAAGCAAGGACTTAACCTAAGACTCAGATTCTTTATCTTAATAGATAAGTTTCTTTATGTTAGTAGATATAAATCCTGGTAGCTATCTCATAAGGTAGCTTTGGTTATAAATGAGGTAACACATAAAGGGCACATCACAGCGTTTGGTACCGTGCTTTATAAATATCAGGTAGTTACTATTAGACCTACCTCACAGATTAGGAAACTGAAGTCAGCCGTCACTCTTACCGGCAGGACTCTTCCCTTCCTTTGGGCCCCAGAGACCAGAGGTAGTCTGTAGGACCTTTCCTGAGGTCTCAGATCATACCACCTCCCTCAGAGACGTTGAATGCATCCTCCTTGTCAGTGCTGTTGCTCGAAGCTTCCAGGGTCCCAGCAGTCCTGAGGTCCTCCTGTCTTTGCCTCACTAAAGTATACTTGCTCAAGCTGTCAGCAGCCCCCTGTGCTCACCCCCAGGCCAGCAATTCCCCTACCTGAACTTTCAGGCTAAATCCATAGTATGAGACCGCTGAAGTCCAGAGCAACAACCTGAAAAAATACTCGTGGATCTTTAAGGTCAATGAGAGAGTATGTTTGAACTTGTGGCTCACCCAGAAAATCTGGGACACACATAGTCACCATTCCAGGACCTAAATTTAGAACTGATGTTCTTTTTCTCCCACACACACCGAATTTAGTAGCTGAAGCATGTAGCAAGAAAATGTAGCAAAGGAGTAAGAATAGAGATGATGGGGTAGTCTTTGGAGAGCATCTAGTCCACACTCCTCGTGTGATACCTGAGGAACCAACCTTGAGGCCTGGAGAAGGGAAATGACTTGCCCAAGTCCAAATGCTGCGTTAGAAGTAGACTTAGCCTCGTGGCTTTTGGTGCAGTGCGGTTTCCCACACAGCACTTTGCCTCCCTGGTTAGGTTCTTACTGCATTGGCGGTAGGGCTTGGCCTCCTTCTGGGCCCTGAGGCTCTGTGGTTATCTGAATCCTCACTGAGTCCTGTGGGAGAAGACAGGGGCATGTGCTTAATTGTTACTGAGCTCTGTGGCTTTCCAGGGTTTGTGCAAGTAGAGGAAAGAGATATCCCCACCTGTCCTCAAATGTGCCTTTTGTCTGGCAGAGATATTGGGTGGAGAATATATTGTTCTCTTCCACTCTTGTCAACAGTGTTTGAGGAGAGGGAATCATTTCTGACTTTGCGTGGATTTTTGGATTCCCGCTCCATCTCTTTGTTTCTTTTATAGCACTAAAATGCCTCTTGCTAACTAATTAGAACCAATACCTTCCTGGGCATCCTCCCTTGTTATGCCCACCCCTGCCTTGGCTCTTGTCTGGAACTTTCACCTTCTGAGGGACATCACCCAGAATCACTCTGCTTTGATCCCTGAGCTTGTAGGTTGAAAAAACTTGAGTTCTCTCTTCTTTTCTTTCTCTCATCATCAGATAGTGAATGTTGTAACATCAACCTGGATACAGAGACCAGCCCTCTCAGTAACGACTTTGAGGAAACCATGGGCAGGAGGCTGCTGAGAACCCTGAGTGAGTAGCTAGTTCTTCACCTACGTGAAAGCCACACTGCAGCCTGTTAGTAGGCAAAGCATGTTAGGATCTTCTTCTTGGACAAGGAACTGCTGACTCCTTTTAGAACCCTAATGAGGTCTAGTCATGGAAATCCAAAGTCAGGCTTGGGCCAGTACTGCACCCGTGATAGTTTGGGGATCTAGCCCATCCAGTTGTTGGTCCTCTAGGACAGGAGTCTGCAAACCATGCCCACAGGTCAATTCTGACCTTCCTGTTTTTGCAAATAAAGATTTATTGAACTAGAGAATGTAGGTCCCTGGAAATGGCTCGTGGGACATCAAAGACTGTAAGACCAATCCTCTCTCTCAGGGTGTATCTGGCAGTGGGGCTGGGGCCCGCAAGGGTGGGGAAGGTATGATCCTGAGGTATCACATGGGTTTTACTCAGTTCCCTGCAGGAAATCTCAATTCCAGGCACTAGCCTGAGTTTGTGGCTTTTCAGAGATGTCCTCTTATGTGGAAGGTGTATCCTAATCCTTCAAGATGTAAACATGCCAATTATCAGCACCAGGATACAATGCAGATTAGTTTCAGCCAAGCTGTCAAGGGCTTTGTGTCCCTTTCTGCTTCCGTTTGGAAGAGAGCTCAGACCACTGAGAGAGTGTGGATGTCCTCCCAGTCTTACAGGCTGATACTTACAAACTGTTTTTCAGGTGGTCAAAGAAGGAAGAGGTCACCAGATGGAGAGAGAACCTCTGAGGAAAACTCGAATTTAACGCCTCTCATCACATGACAGCAAAGCCAGCATTTGCTGGGTATGTGAGATTCCAGAGCTTTGGGGGAGAACCCACCCTCCCATCATCTGCTTCCCCCCAAGGCCTCCCACAGGTGACAGAACGTTCTGCCTTCCTTTCCACCTCTTCACCCCTAGCTGTCGATTTGGCAGATTTTCCCTTGTTGCCTCCAGTTTGCCTCAGAGCCTTGCCGTGGCCATAACGGAAGGAAGTGCCTCTAATGGAACATGTTAGAAATGGTTTTGTCTACAGCACAGTCTGGGACTGGAGAAGAGATGACCCCAAGCTGACAATGCCACTCTGGGACCCTGATACCATAGGACACCCATGTGCCGCAACTCACCATTCTTTCCTCCAGAACAAAATGATAACTTTCTACCATATTTCATGCCTAGCTTAACTTAGAAGGTGCCGCTAGCAGACAGGCACATGGGAGGACGGAGTAGGAGGTATGGAGTTTAGCTCAGGGGACAGACCAAGAACTCCTCCAGAACTTCAGAGCAGTGGGACTCAGCCATGTTGGCATGTGACTGATGTTTCAGCACAGAAAACTGTCAGTGACTGGTTCCCTGTTGGATAAGGGTTCCAGCATTCTGAGGAAGTGAGTGTCAACTAGAATGGAAAGAATGTGAAATGGAACTTCAAGTCACTGTTTTTCCCAGGGACACATCTGTTTTGGCTCCCAATCAACAGTTATTAATCAGTCAATCAATCTGCTCTGGAAGAGGAGGAGTGGAAAACGGAGAGCAGAGAGACCCAATTGGGAGCCAGAGATGGAACTTCAGGTGTTAAGTGCAAATCAAAGCAAGAAAAAAACAAACAAAAAAAAACGTACATGGAAAATTTCTAAGCCGTTAAAAGCAAGTTTAGCCATGACAAACCAAAGAGTGCCCAGGTCAGCCAGGAAAGATGCATGCTCAGTGTGTATTATACAGGAACGTTCAAAAATCATTCTTTTTCATTCATCTGCACCTCCCACCCCTTACTACACCCTAGCACATCGGTTGAGTATACTTTATTCCAGAAACTCACTAGATCTCTGGTTTTTCTCCTGGATGTTGAGGCAGGTGCAATTCCAAGCATAACCATGAGGTGGCAGAAAGACTGCACATACCTACTTCCAAGAACAAAGTAGTTCTAATCAGGAACCACAGCCAGCCTTAGGGAAAACTTGGAAGTGAAGTTTGTCTTTGGGACATCTGTGTCCCTTTCTGATCTATCTCCCACTACTTGGATGCCCTGAGTCAGGTACCCAGCGATCGAGTGCTGTTTGTTGAATCTTTAAACCATTCCCAAACTTTTCCCTGCGGTATACCTTCCCTCCCCTTCTTCCAAAACCATCACTTCCACCTCCCCACACCCATTCAATCAATAATCACATGGGGAGGCTGCAGACTGATAATTCCTCTGGGTTATTTGCATCTCAAAAGAAAATGCTTACCCACAGGAACCTTTAACTCAGGGGTCCTTAACTTGGGGTCCATCACCCCAGGGGGTCTGTAGTTGGACTTCAGAGGGTCTATGAAACCTCTAGAACTCTAGAATTTAGTGTATGTATTCTTGCGTGTGTTTTCCAGAGCGTTAAAGCTTTCATAATATTCTCAAAGGTCTCAGACCTACAAAGGATTAAAAAACCCCACTATTTTACATAGTGGAGCTTTCAGCCCAGAGTTTCTGCAGTGCAGAGTGAAGTGAATACTGGGCAGTTTGAGGCAGATTTTTAATTATGAGTGGTCTTCTCAAGTGGCCATAAGCCAATGGGGGAGGCTGGCACATTCTAGAATATTGTCCACCCCACATAATTTTGTCCCCACTTCCCTAACAAACCAGAGCAGGTGTTGCAGACAGGAGGGCCACAGCATGTGGGAGCAGACTTTGGAGCTAGAGATGCCTTCTCCAGCAATGTATTGTTGACTTCAACGCACCCTTGCCTGGCCGGGCCTGGTCTGAGGCTCGGCAGTGCATGACTTCTCGTAGATAACTTCACGGCAACCCCCTCCCAACACCTGCTCTTGCCTGGTAGGAATAGACAGTGTCAGCCCTCAGCGTTGGGTGCCTCAGTCCCAAACCAGTACACGGTGAGTCTTGAGCAACAACTGCCATCACGCAGTCTTCTTGCTCAGCCGGCCACTGGCCCGGGGGCCTGTCTGGCTAGCCTTCCTTTCATTACCCCTTAGGCCACGGAGCTCAGGCCACTGCTGTTACATTACATCCATCCCTCTGCAGAATCCCTAAGGAGCCTGTCACCACTCCTCTCCCTAGACCCCCCATCCCCAGCAAAGATTTTCTTCAGGTTAAAAAAAAAATTTTAAAATAGAGCATTTATGAAGGCTCAATAATTGTAAATAATTTTTAAATAAAATGAAAATGCCTTTCCTGGAATGTGGGGCTGTTTTCCTTGCCCTGGAGTGTCGGAGTTCAAAGTGGCTTCATTTGAGATGCAGGTTGGGTGATGCACGTGTGTAATTATCTCACCAGTGGTCCACCTGTCTGAAAAGCACGCCTCTCAAGGCCAGGTGTGAGGCTGCAGTGAGGTTACAGTAAAGCCCTGGCATTCTACTTTGGGAGGTCAGATGGGTAAGATTTTGCAGGAGCAAATGCCAGAAATGGGAAGTAAAACCCAAACAAGAAGCTGGAGTGTGCACGAAGACAAAGTAGGAGGCCTGAGAAAACACTGAGAAGGGCTGGCATTTGTTGAACCCACGTGATGGGTGAAAAACGGTACTGGGTGCCATCCAAGTCCAAGGTCTTAAAAGGCAGGCCCCTGAGACAATGCACTGGTCACAATGGCTCGCTTTTGCAGAAAGGAGTCGAAGTGGCACAACTCCAGCAGTTTCCAACCAAAGGCTGGGGAAAGGAACACAGGAGTGCATCAGGCTTATTGGTCAGTTTTAAACCAATGGAGGAGGGCAGGAACAACCAGACAGGTGGGAAGCTGTGTTTGGGCATTTAATGTCTGTGTAGAAGGAAAGCTGGAATCTGACACCTACTACTAATTTCTCAAACCAGCAAACTGGACAATTAGTGGCCTATGCCACACGGCTTAAGATTCTTCTTAGGAACCTCAATAGAGGCTATTCATTTCATTAACAGTAATTATAAATGATCATAACTATTTTGCTTAGGACTTTATGTGCCAAATGTCGTGATAAGTATCCATTAGCTCATTTCTTTCTCAAAACCACACTAGGAAGGGGGTGTTCTGAGAGGTTGGATGACTTGCTCAAGGTTACACAGTTGGGAACTGGCAGGGCCTGGAGGTCTGAGTGCCCTCCTGGTTAGCAGGCAAAATCTGTGAAACAATCCTACGTCTGAAATTCACTGTGAGTATCTACATGTTAGGGGCCCTAAAGAGTCCTGCAGCTTTTCCCAAACTTACACAGAGCCTTTTCACATAAACACTCTGAACACTCAGGGGAAACTAGAACGCGGTGGGGGCCACACTAACCAAAGGATCTGTAAGAACAGAATTAAGGCCAAATTCCCATCAAGATTGGAGCTTTTTTTTTCTTAGCTACAGCTGCTGAAATAGGAGAGACTGGGGCTTTTTTTAAATGCCAAAAACATTTTAGCACTTCAGTACTGGCACTTAGGTTTAAAGAAGTGTTTAATGGCTTTAGCACCCCACTAAAGAGAAAAATTGAATTTCAATTATCCCTAATAAGAGAAATTAAATGCTAATAAATAAGATTTTGTCAGGTAGGATTGCGCTTTGGAAAGCCACAAACCATTTTAATATATCAGACTATTTTTGCCCCAAAGGACCAACTTTTGCCCTCGTGGAAGTACTGTCACCCCCTTGGTGAATGCATGCTTTAAAGCTATGTTTGCAGAGAACGACAGAGGATTGACACAAGGTGGAATCATTCAACTTCTACTTTGGCTGCTTTCCCTTACAAGCATCTTTAAATTGGAAGAACAAATACTGATTTGTTCAGAAGGCAGGAGATGAGCAGGAGAGCATCCAGTCACGCTCAGTCAGTTCATATCCACCAGCCCAATCACACACGTGCAGAGCAAGTGCCCTGTGAAGGACTGCAGGGGCTCCAGCCAGACAAGGAAGGATCTGGAAACCATATCCTGTGCAGAAACCCTGAAGAATGGGAGGAGAGGCAGTTCACACAGAAAAGCATAATCAAGGAATAACAACTACTTTCAAATATTTAAAAGGTCGTCAGTTAGAAGTGCCAGTAGACTTACTGTCTATGGTTGAAAGGAAGGAAGGAGGAGCAGGGGAGTTTGACAAAGGAGATCAAATTCTGGTTCAAGGTGAAAGATCTTTATTATTAAGGGGCTCCATCAACAGAATGGGATGGATGCCTCACCAAGCACTGAAAGAACCCACCACCACCAACCCCTGGTTGACGATGATGCATCAGGGGCAACATGGAAGAGACCATTTCACTGAGGGAGAGAGGACGGACTTGACTTCTAAGACCCCAATCATCCCTCAAAACTGTAGGGTTTTACAACTCAAAGGTGTCTTAGAAAAGGGCAGATCCTGTTACAATAACAAGAATTAACTAAATATTTTTAAACTCCAAGTAGTAACCCTTTTTTTTTTTTTTTTTTTTTGAGACAAGAGTCTGGCTCCGTTGCCCGGGCTAGAGTGCTCTGGCATCAGTCTAGCTCACAGCAACCTCCAATTCCTGGGCTCAAGCAATCCTCCTGCCTCAGCCTCCCGAGTAGCTGGGACTACAGGCATGTGCCACCATGCCCGGCTAATTTTTTTTTTTCTATATATATATTTTTAGTTGTCCAGATAATTTCTTTCTACTTTTAGTAGAGACAGGGTCTCACTCTTGCTCAGGCTGGTCTCGAACTCCTGACCTTGAGCGATCCACCCGCCTCAGCCTCCCAGAGTGCTAGGATTACAGGCATGAGCCACTGTGCCCGGCCTTACCCTCTTGTTTTAATAAGATTCAACCCCACCATATTCTACAAAACTGCCCTTTGGAGTCTCTTGGACTCCCTGGAAATTGTGGTCTACGTGTAAGTG